ACAAGTGACAAAAAAGGAATTTGATTCATGTCTGGGAGGCAAACACCAGGCCAGACAGTAAATGGACAAGGTTTCAGGATTAATCCAGCCACTGTATGGCTTTGGTGCTATAACATTGCCAGCATACAGACATTTAGAAGGAAGAGAAAGAGACATCAAGGATTTAAAATGGTTTTATAAGACTAATCTCTTCCCTAAAGAGCCTGCCAAGCATTTTCAGACTTGCTGAGTAAGTATTGCACTAATATGAGGAAATAGGGGATAAACACTCATACATACAGTTTATACAGTTAAATCGGGATTACACACTGAATTCTTTGAAGTTAGGATGAGGATGAAGTGGGATTAAGTCTTGGGTCACCTGCGGTATTCCTCTTGCAGGGTTTTTCTGTTCTTAAGCTGTGTGTGTTATAGGAAGAACAAACAGAGGAGATGTGGTGCTGTGACCACATGAAAACACAGCAAACTGAAAGAAACAAGTGGAAAAGATGCTGGTTAGGAGCGTAGCTGGCTCCGGTCTGGGCTCTACCGTTTGCAGAGTATCCCTGGAACGTCTCATCTCCTGGGACTCCATTTCCACTGATTTCTTAACAGATCTGGCTAATTGAGCCCTTTAAATAACTGCTTGTGTAACATATTCAAGAATTTCACTGAAAAAACAAGTCTCTCGGCCTGTTTATTTGTAGCCGAGGTCCCTACACCATGGACCCCAAACCCCTTAGATGCTTCATCAGACTCTTGAGTGGAAGAAGTTTTTTTTTAATGAAAAGGCTGGAGATTTTAAGTTTCTTATGAAATGCAGTAGTGAGAAAGAGAACTGCCCCAAACAGCATTACTTTGCTTTTCATGACTTCTCTCCAATCACAATCAGAAGTTCTGCTGCAGGGCCCGTGGAACCAGCCGGCTCTGATGGTACACATGGCCGGTCTTCTGGTTCTGCTCAGCATGTTCAGTCACACAGCATAACTCTAACACCTCTAACCAGGCTTTGAGGAGATCTATTGGTATTTTCCTTTCATGAGGTGAATGTCTTGCGTAATCAATTCTAAAAGACATGAAGAAAAAAAACTATACTTGTCTAAATCATAAAGTAATTAGGTTAATTGTTTAATTGACTTCTGAGCCTGGAGAAGACACCAGACCCTGAAGGCACTGGGTTTGAGAGACCTGCTTTGAACAGACAACTGCAACAGTGCTCTTAATTCACTGCATGACTTTCCCACATCTTGAGCCCTGTGATTTACAGTAGAAGAGAGCCAGGCGTCTTCTCCGAGATCTTCTTGCCTTCGTTTATTGTTCACTGTTTTTAAAGAGCAAAAGCGTACAGATTGGTAACGATGCTCACAGATTAACAAGACAGGAGATCCAAAAAGGAGAACCCCCTCCAAATTCAGAACACAGATTTATTTAATCAATTCTTTGCAATAACAAAATAAACACAGATTGGAGACAGACTCTCTGGTGAGTGAATTCAGACAATTTCACTGGCATTCAAGAAGCAATACACAAAACTGTTTCATCAAAGCCCCACTCACAGGGAGCTTGTATTCTTATTTCTTCAATAAATACTAAACCACCCTAAATCCTTTTTTTATTTTGAACTGTTAAAAGTTAGATAAAAAAACATCCATATCTCACACTTACTTATTGTCTTGATTCACCGTTACTCAAACATCCTCTGAATAAGTCACAAGGATTCAGTTTGTTAATAACTACCATTGATCTGGAGTTGGCATGTACCACTGGAATGTGCAGGACAATAGCCGGAGGTGTATGCTAGATTTACAGAGCCTGGCCTCATTAGAATGAGCACCCCCCCCCGCCCCCCCATACAGAATGTGTCCCAGATACAGGTCCCAGTATGAGCACCAAAGCCTTTTCACCGCACTTTTTGAACAGCTGATTCTGTTTGCTCCATACAATTCTTTTGCAACGCGTCACAAATCCCCTGCTGCAGTTATAGGAATCTGCCATTGACAAGACTGTCTAGGTCAATCCCCTGAGCAAGATCCACAGGCATTGCCAGGTGTGTGTTAGTGCCACCTGCCTTTTGTGGCCCGTGTTGTGTTCCAGTTGTTTTTGCTGCTCGTTTTGGTACCGCAGGGCTCTGTAAATCTAACTTCCCAGTGGAAACCGCAAACCCAGGAGTTGCCAATTCCATTAGAAGTGATCAGATCAGATCAGGAGGGGGCATTGGGAGTTAATCTGTACTTGTTGCAAATACCAAAAAGCTAAAAAAGACAATCGTCACACAAAGCTATCCAGATAGTACTCTCTCTTCTACTGTTTCAAAATCATTACTATAAAAGCTAGGGTGCATGGTTTCATTAGCAGGACATAACCGCGTAGCATTGCTCAGCTGGGGAAGGTTAAGAACTGTACGATTCAGCATGGGGGCATACAGCCATGATGGATCCAATCTCAGCTAAATCAATCAGGACAAATAAGCTATTTTCATCTGTCCTGACCCAGGAGTTCTCCAATAGCTTGTTTGCTCTTTTATATTCCGGTAACAAGGTAAAAACAAGACTCTTGTCTCTGACTCCAGTCTTTGGCTGATTCCGAGGTCTTACACTAAATTCTAATTAATCCTGTCCCAGTCTCGGGCCCCTGTCTCTGAATTCAGAGGACGGTGGTGGTCTCCGGGATTCAGACTGGCCATCCCAGCAGGCATGATCCCTGAGTTAGTTTTGGTCTGGAATTAGCTGGGGCACAGACTCAGAAAACAGTAGTATGGAACGGAGTGCTATGGAACAGAAGAGCCTTTTTCCGGCCAGGCCATCTCTTGTGACAGTCCTGCATACCCTGAACAGAAAGAGGACAGACCCAGGCACTTGGTCACAGGGTCACAGATCATTGGACAGGAAGGTTATAGGACAGAGGGAAGCAGTTACTCAGTCTACTGCATTCTGCACAGATCACGAGACACACAGAGATTTAGATATATTTCAGTATAAGCATATATATTTAGAATTTTATTTTTCAATTTCAAATAATAAATATGTACACCACAGATTTGATTAAAGCGTGACAACAGGTGAACAATGATAAAAAGACTCTAAATCTAAACAGGTGGCTAAACTGCTTCCTTCATTATTGAGCTATTCTTTTTCTTTCCTGATCACTGGCAGCTGCAGGACCTTTTTGTCATCATTCTGGTGTCCTGCACATACCCAGTCCTCAGCCAGGGATTAAAGGTCACTGTTAATCTAGACCCAGGGTGTCAAGAGTCCTGGAGGGCCCAGTGTCCTCTGGGTATTGTTCCATTGAGCTCTCAGGTTATTATGGAGCATCTAATTATGTCAATTGGGCAGCGCAACTGTGGTATTTCACACGTGGCTTCAAAATATTTTATATAGGGAACTGTCGTTTTAATGAATTGAATATTCTGAGTTATGAACTGTAAAAGACGTTAAGGAACATCCTATACAATGCATAAGACGGTAACAAGGTTAAGTGTTTAACAGACAACTCGGGTTGACACAAGAAGCAGGAAGAACAGAGTCCGAGACCCCAGATCTGGTCTGAACAGAATCCCAGGCATTCTCATACACCTTCAGTCAAGGGTTCAAGGTCACTGTGATCTGAGTTTATTAAGACTATTATTTGATCAGCTAAGCCATTGGGAGCTGGGCAGGATGGAAATCTGATGGCTCTGCCCTGAAGCTCTTCCCGGATCAAGATTTGAGATGAGGAAATAAGGTGTTTCTACAACACCGGGGATGCCAGCACAGTGTTAAAAAAACCCTGACAATTACAGAAGAAAGTCGGGTCACAATTTTGAAAAGCAGAGACAAAACACATGCCGAGTCAAAAACCGGGGCCAGAAGGAGCTCTGTAAAGCAACGCACTTCGAGAGATCCGCTCATGGATCATGGATTTCCAGCTCTTAGATCAAAGGTCTCTTCTCAAAGATTCTTCCTAAAAACTCGTATTGAATCTATTAATATGGTATCGAAAGAGAACAGGAAAGAAATCGGTCCATCGCATGCGAGGTCGAGGGAATCAGAAGACTTGATGTCTCTTTCTGGGCGCGCCAGGCCGGAGCAGGAACACGCTCAGCCCTCGACTGCCTCGATCTCACGACGCGCTGACCGACAGGCACGGAAACTAGGGAAGCAAGTGTGGGCTCAGCCCTCTTTTCCCCTTGAAGAGAACGGTTTGAACAAGATAGGTTTGAACAAGAAGCTCAAGTGGTGCCTTCAGGCTCGATCTGCGGCAGACAAAAAGACTTGCGGTGTTTCTAAGGCACAGAGACGCGTTCACGTTTGCTCGTGGTGTCACGGCCCGATAGCGGTGAAGACATTCCTTTTCAGTACGGACAGACATGAGCCGAGAGGGGCAGAGACAGAGAGGTGTGGTAGAGGGTTAGGAATCACAGTAGGGTTAGGGTTTGAGATACGGACAGACTGTATCTCCTCTCCATCAATCAATGAACAGAGAGGCACAGAGACAGAGACAGAGACAGAGACAGAGACAGAGACAGAGACAGAGACAGAGACAGAGACAGAGACAGAGACAGAGACAGAGACAGAGACAGAGTTATTCAGGTCTGGGGGAAAGGTTAGGGTTTGAGTTACAGACAGACATGAGCAGACAGGTGTAGAGACAGGTTTCTGCAGGTCCAGGAGAGGGTTAGGGTTGGGGTTGGAGATACAGACAGAAATTAATACAGAGGTACAGAGACAGAGACAGGTTTATTCAGGTCTGGGTGGAGGGGGGGCAGAGAATTTTGGAGAGGAGATCTGGACCGCGGGTGTGAAATCCTAGCTGCAGGATTTGGCGGGAGCCTCAATCCATCTGCTGAGGCTGATCCAGCTTTTTCAGGTCATCCAGGAAGTGGGTGGGTGTCAGGATGTGGGTGGACCCTGTGGGAAGGGAGGAACAGCATCAGACCAGCTTATCTCCTCCAGAAGACGAAGAGCAGGAATGATGTAGGTTAGGGACACATTTGAGATCCTGGGATCAATGAACCAGTGAGCAGCCAGACACGGAGTACCATACTGTAAAGGAATTCATTCAGCCATTCAGGACTCACCCATGAGCACTTCCCACTTGTTGTCGGTGGCGCGGGTCACCTCATAAGCCGCACGCAGCTCGGAGTGTGCCATACCGCCAATGGTGAAGACGATCAGCCGCGGCCCAGAGCGATACTCTGTTGCCGTCTTGTTCTTGTGCCAGTGTCCGAACCGGGCACTGCTGTTGCCGGGAGAGACAGAGATCCAAGTCAATCAATAAAGTACCGGCCCGTCACAATGCAGCCTAACTGAGACTGATGAGTGCTCAAAACATGGGATTCGGAGAGATGACACAATATGAATTTTCCTTTCTCCTGTTCATGAAAGCACCACGGATGCCCAAGTTATCAGCATGATTCACAAGATTTCATGAGGGGCTCTTGAATAGACACACTGCCGTGTGTCCGGGTGTGGGCCCGGGTTCGGGGATCAGGAGAGAGGCCGAAGTCCCAGGCTCTTACCTCACGGCAGCCTGCGTGGTGGCCGTAGGGATGGGGTCAGAGATGAACGGCCAGGCCTTCCTGTCCAGTTTGTCCTCTATGGCGTTCTGTAGACAGAATCGTTTTTTTTCAGTTCAGCGTGTTTACAGCATTTCGACACTTCTCTGTGTACGCATCAGTCATTGGTTGATGAAAAGAGAACAAGGAGAACAAGACTTGACTTGCAAATAGAATAAACACAGGAAGTGAGTAGATCCTGGCCAGCCTGCTCCTGACCCCTCTGTGCTCACCTCCATCACGTCCTTGATGATGGGCGTCCAGCGGGAGAGCTGGTAGGTGCTCTCCCTGCGCTCCTTCCTGTCTGGTAAGGTGTTCCCGGCGTTCGCCCCCTGAAACACACACACCGCTTTCTCTCAGCAGGTACATCTGAACATCTGTCCACACCAATCTACTCAACACAGGGAGCGTAAACCCAGGGAGCGGCACCTCAGGGCACTTACCCCAGCTATGATGGGGCAGCCCAGTTTCTGCAGGTTGGTGATGATGTTGCTGTCCTGTTGGATGTTGGCATGCTGGATGAGCTTGGTGAGGTTCTCCTCAGCGATCCCTATCGATACAGACAGCATTAGTGCCCGAATGACATGAAAACCACACCAGAACATCTTCTCTCGCTGCTAGCAGCCTTGCTATTCTACATTACACTCACACCCCAGTATTACACAGCTCCTCAAAACTAAGACAAGGGTGATCTCTAGTCACCAACAGAACAGGGAGCAGGGACAGAAGGTCGGGGGTGAGTGACCTGGTACTGTCTGTGCTCGGCAGCAAGGAGGGTGATCCAGTCCTGTCTGGGCTCGACAGGAAGCAAGCAGGGTGTAAAGTTTAGAGAAAGGTGATCCAGCCCTGTCTGTGCTGGACAGGAAGCAGGGTGTAAAGTTTAGGGAAAGGTGATACAGGCCTGTCTGGGCTGGACAGGAAGTAGGGTGTGAAGTTTAGGAGAAGGTGATCCAATACAGTCTGGCCTTGACAGCAAGCAGGGACTGACGAACCTTTTTTCTTCAGGAAGATGTAGAGCAAGATGATGCGGATCTTGTCGTAGGGTTTGATCTCCGCATTGAGGAGCACGGGGACGATGGTCTTCATGGGATCCTTGATGGGCTCCCCCTCTGCATCTTTTCCCATTGCCAGATCCTGGGAAACCACAAACACGGGGTGTGACACGAAACAAATAAGAACCACAAGATCACAAACCAGCTGGAGTCGGAATGGTTGTACAGAAGTGGACTATTAATAGACTCAGAGATCAAGAGGATTCTGTCGTTGTCCCAGTGGTTCCCAGCTCCAGCTGCCTGTGAAGGGTAGGCAGGGGAGGTAAAGGTAATCCTTGTGTGCAGTAATGTGCAGTAATCCTTGATGCACTGGAACATCAGGCACACACTGACTAATCTCAGTGACATAACTGCACCGCGCTGCAGAAGCCGAGCTCTACTGGGAGGAGAAATGACAGCAGCTGGCTAAAAAACATTATGCCACACGTTGTAAATTAAAAAAAAAAGGATTTTAGACTGAAATCTAGGAGCTCTTTCAAATCCCCTACTGCACAAAAAAGCCTGTGGCAAACAACTTAAAGGCAACACCAAGAAACTTTAACGCTGGGAAAACAAACACAAAACAGAAAGTAATTTCTGGAGGGTGACTATCTTGTGCTGCTGAGGCACTTGCTCTTGAGACACACACCCCCTCCCCTCCCCATTTAGTGGACGATGAATTTAGGGGTACAGTGTGTGAAGCCCTGTTGAAGCTAATTCTTGCGGCTCACACAGTAACTTGGGAGAAGGGGGTGCCCGGCAGGTTTTCTCCAACACCATCGTATCAATTTCAAAAATATTCCAAACCCGGGGACACTGCCCGACCCCCCCACCCCCCCAGTCTGGGCCAGTCTGGGGTAGCGGGCTGCCACTGACCTGCTCCACTTCGCACAGCTTGTCCACGTTGCTCCTGAATTTCTTCATGCAGGCCTCGGCCAGGTGCAGGTGAGTGGAGTACTGGAACACAGCAAGGCCAGCGTCAGACACACACAGCATATACAGTCACATACAAACGTACAGAATTATCTCAGAAAGCTAGAAAAGATTTGGCCTCTGCTCTCCCCTCCTTGCCAGGCCACTAGATGGTGCTGCGATACCAACCCTTTATGATGCACATACACAGGTACATAGACAATGTATAGTTATAGTATATAATGTACATGATACATATAATGTCATGCATATCATGTAAGCAATATAATAATATCTATTAATAATATCCTACACAATCAAAGAATTCAGACAGAAAGAAAAGGTAAAAAGAGCTGAATCTTAAATATCTGTCCTGGGAAGAACAGCTCACTCTGAGAAGCTGTCATTACCGCGACTAAAGCTTTCTGCTCAGAGGACACGTGGGTGGGTGGGTGGGGTGATATTGCGGAGGTGGGTGGGCATCCTGCCAGCAGCCCTTTGCTGACAAAAAAGCCGTAACAAAGTGCAGCGTGGCACCCTGGAAACACAGGGCTGGGTGTCTCCTCTACTGAAGACTCCTGGTTCTGTGTCAGTCACAGCTAAACCCAGTACCAGCGAAAAGTCAGCGCATCTCACAGCACAGCTCACCCCGACCTCCAGCAAGTCCTGGGGGGGGAGGTCTGTTAAAGTCACCCCAATATTTGTCATTCCCAATGTACCTCATCGATTCATTCCGGAAACTAAATTCACTCTACGTCACACAGATCTGCACGTACGGCGAGCTTTGTGGTGCCCAGACGACAGGCACTCCCGTGTATTGAACCGTCACCCCGCGGGCCTCAGCTTGGCCCCCCCTGCTGTGTGCACCTCTCGAGGCCTCTGTGCTGCGAGAGCCCCGTCTTCATCTCAGCGTGTCTGGGCGGTCCTATCACCACAACCGGGGAGCCCAGTGCTGGTGCACAGCGAAGCGCTGCTCACAAGAGGCAACGTGCGAGTGTGGGTGTGGGTGTGAGGATAAGTGCAGAGCCTGCTGGGAGGTGATAAATGCAGCAGAACCAGCGGACAGGCTGCAGACATCTACAGTGTAAGAATCGCAGTGCACTTGTCTTTTCTGCTTGTTGTTGTTTATGAGCTACAGGTACATACATGTGACCGAACTGTATGTTTCGGGAATGTCTCATGCTAATTGCATTATTGCTTATGGATATTAATTACCCTTTATAAGTCATTTCACTGTAAGCTGCTGTATGCCCAAACAGAGCCTTGCAGCGGAGTCCCTGAACTGGTAACAGGGACCCTCTGCAATCCGTTTCTAGTGCGATGGGGAGGACCGCTGACTCCGTCTGTAAAGGTAACTCCAATGCCCCCCAGTTTTCCACCCCACGGCTCTTTGCGGATTTCACTACAGCAATGACCTACCGTGCTCAGCTCCTTCTGGTACTGCGGCATCTTCTTCAGCATCTGAGACAGGTCTTTGATGTTGGCCTAGGACAGGAAACAGCACCGTGAAGTCAGCCTGCCAGACGACCTCTGACCCCAAACACAGCAACAGCATTCCCTGGGTTTCAGAGCCCCCGAGCCCTCAGTGAAGTCAGCAAGCAACATTGCGGTCTGGGCAGCTCACCTTGTCGGTGTTCATTCTTTTGCCCTCACAGAAATTCTTCAACAGCTCCGTAACTTTCCTGCGACAGAACAAAAGATGTCTCAGAGACGCCAACATTCCTGCAAACACCTGCACTGCGGCTTAAACATCCCCTATCCGTGCCACCTGTGACCTTATCAAGGCACTCCTAATTGAATCTGGGTCAACCGCAAATCGCCACCGTTCTCTTTCTATTTGTTGTTACTCAGCACAGCAGGTAAGTAAGGAAGCTGGAGAAAGTGGCTTTGTTCCTCCATGCACGTACAGGCAAGCGCGTCTTAGTTTTGTACAGGAGGCACATCGTGAGGTGAGTCCCCTGTCCATCTCTCCAGGGCTTCCTGAAGGACAAAAGGGTGGGAGAAGAAAGAAGGGGAGAAGAAGAGGTGCAATCGGAGGACAAAGGTGAGGAGGAGGAAGGGCAGAAATGGGAGGAAGAGAGTGGAAGTGCAGGACATGCAGGAGGAGGAGAAAAGGGAGAGGAAGAGGAGGAAGGGGTAATGGAGAGCAGGAAGGGGCAAGGAGGAGGAGGAAGATTGGGAAAGGACTTGCTAACGTACTTGGTGACGTCGGCGATGTGCATGTGTCTGAGCTGGACCCACAGCTCGTCGTCCTCTTCCAGCAGGACCTCCTTCTCTCGGGACTCCCCGATCCCCGTCGTCTCGTACCTGTCAGTCAGACACCCCCCCGAACCAGGCAGCCAATCAGCTGATGAGCCAATTCAACAGTCAACCACATAACCCCCTGGCCAATCAAAAATAGTCCAATAATCCAAAACTCAATCGAAACCATCAGTCAACTGACAAAATCACTGAAATACATGAGCCAGTCATCTTATCCATTAAACATGAAAATCAATTAACACATCAACCAACCTAACCATCAACCTTCAATTTATATAGCGCCATTTCACTATTCCCACAGCCACCAGATGTCTTTTGTTCTGTTGTTACAGACAAGGATCTACTCCTCCTGCCCCTAAGACAAGTCCCATCTCTTCCAGTGTTCATTCTTGCTGAGCCTTCAATGAAGTAGTTACCTACCGGTACATAATTAAACGATCTGCTCCCAATCTTAACACCCCCTTAACGAGAAACACTCAACCAGCCAATTATCTGCTTTTTAACACTTTGGAAAAAGCTGGAAACAAAGACACTGTCCTACAAATTAATTTAGCTTAATAAAGGCCTCGATTGCAGGTCTGCAGTCTTCACAAACCCCACATTGTATCCATTTTGGACAGAAATATTTCAGTGGTGCTCCAAAGTGTTTGGGAAGAATATACCCCAGGTCCTGAACTAGCCCTCTGGCTGCTCACAGGCAACTCCCAGATTAACACAGGAAGAACAATCAGCACTGACGTTTGCAATGGTTGTGGGGAACAAATTATTCTCAAAGTGTGGACATCTGCCATTGTGCTCTGTTTCGAGAGCTGGCCTGATGAGATGAGCTCAGTTACAAAGAAGATAATTTGTTTTCTGTAGGAAAGGGGTTCTATAGGACCTGGGGTCCATTTCTGTACAGAACTCTGATTATTTCACACACCCAAATGGTCTGTTTTTACTTTTATCATAGATTTCTTCTCTTTTCTTATTTCAACAAGAAAACGGCAAGAAGACCTAAGCAAGCCTGAGCTGTTTTTTTCTGTGGCTGACCATGTGTTTTTGTTTTTTGGTGTTTCTGTATATTTTGTGTTGTTTTTTTTATGTTGCTTAGTTTTTGTTAGTCTTGTTATGCTGACAAGGCACCCTGTGGGAGAGCCGGCCACTCAGACGCAGTCGCCCTGACCGGACTCACTTGTAGATGTCATGCTCAATGTCCAGCAGGTCGTACACCATGGCCTGGAAGGTCAGCTCGTGCAGGATGGGGGAGATGGGGTCGTAGCCGCGGTCCACGATCAGAAGCTGGGATCGGGCCTTGTCAGCACCCTGACAGAGAGAGAGAGAGAGAGGCACACGAGGCAGGGATTCAGGCACACAGCACTCCGAGGCCCTGCAGGCTCGAACCGCTGCACAGCCCTGCGCAGATCACAGAGAAGAGGCAGAAAACCCAGGAAATTTTGAAATCATCAGCTTGAAATCTCCAGCACCTGGTGCTGGCTTCCAAACAAGAGCCTTGTGCAGCTGGTAAAACTTGAAGTGGATCAGACTGCTGTGCACAGGGAATCAAGATTGCTAACCCTATATAACCTATAGTGGGTCACACTGCTGTGCAGAAGGAGTTGGGATTCATAACCCTATATAAACCTTAGTGGATCAGATTGTTGTTAATGGTTTGACTGAAAACACTGTAAAACCTGGAGTGGATCAGACTGCTGTGCAATAGAAGCTTTGATTTGGTTTCCTGACTACTGCAGAGTGCAGTGTACAGTGTGCAGTGTACAGCTGGGCACTGTCAATGTGTTGTACATCAGTGAAGTTGTTAGAGCAGGCAGCTGCATCAGCATGCAAATTGCAAAAGAACCAGTAGAGGTTACCACAGCCGAGACTTCGTATATTTCACGGTCTCTGCTTCCCAGCAGGGTCCGGATCACCGTGTGTTCCTTTGTACTTCAGTGAAGCACAGAGAGACGCTCGGAAAGCGGCAGTGATTTGCATTTCCATTGCTGAAACTGGGCCTCACACACTGTAACCTGCTGCCACACTCGCTTCTGCCATCTTAAGAATGTGGAAACCGGAAAAACTGGATAGATTTCTAAAAACATTGCTGTCGCAGTACTGGACCAGCAAGGAAGGGACTCCCGGCCAGGGACCTTCACACAGACGGGTCAGCACAGTTAAGGCCGGGGTTATGGACTTAATTGGGAGGCTGTGGGTCCAAATCCCACAACTTCCAAATTACTGCTGCAGTCCTTTTGAACAACGTCCTTTACCCAGACTGAACCAGTACAATACCCAGCTGTAAAAACAGGCAAAAATGTAATTTGCTTTAGATACAAGCATCGGACAAAGGAGCCTTCATCAGCACACTGACACTGAATACTAATTATACTGTGACTATGGACAATCTGCCCATTGAGGCAGCTTGTTCTGAAAGGGTCTGGGGCTTGTGGAAGTTCCCAAGACGGAGGAAGCAGACAGAGGAAGGGAAACCAGGTACAGTACGTGCCTTGGGACATCCGCCACCAGGAGAGAGCGTGAGCACCGCTTAACAGCAAGAGAGGAGCAGACTAGAAAAGAAAAAAACAAAGATGAAAGCGAAAGAAGGAAGATGCACAGAGAAACAAAACCCACAGCATGCAAGAAGAGCAAAGGTCAGGCAAGGTCAAAGGTCAAAGAGGGCGGGCAGAGAGAGGCTCTGCTGGGTTTCGGCTGGCCCAGGGATTGGCCGACAGCCCACCGGAGCCATAACACAAGTGACAAAAACCTAAAAATGAACAATTGTTTTCCTTGCATTACCACAGCTGGTAAATGGCGGCAATTACCCTTCAAGATCGTAATAACTCAGCTTTATTTCAGCAGATAAAATATCCATTTCCCTGCCCGTCTGTTTCCAAAAAGGATATAAAAGCCCAAGCCCACCCGAAGGAGAAACACCGTCTCGCCAGCAGGCAAGGTGATTAAAACCACGCTGACACATGAGACTGTGAGTCTTCTTGATCCCACAGGATGGGCTTCTCCTTCCTACGTTTTCCATGGCTTCTCCAAGCCCGGCAATCCAGCTTGTTTCCTTTATTTTCCCCCGGAGTCTCTGGACAGCGAAGCCAGGGGGGAAAAGGAAGGCCAGGACACTCCGGCGCGTGGTCGCCTCACCTCTCCCATGCTGGGGTTGTCCGCCTTGTGGGCTTTCAGCCGGTCCAGCACCATCTCGGCGAAGGCCGCGTTGTCCTCCGGGCCCCTGGGGGAAGACGCACAGAGAAACGTGACCCGGGCGTCACGGCTCCAATGCCAGTGCACGGATCACACAGGGCAGAGCAGGCTCTGGCTTACTGGCCAAACACTGTGGCCACCCCCTCTCCCAGGTCAAACAAACAGACTGTCCGCCGAGACAAGACTTCCTGGACTTCAGTCCCACATAACCCACACCCTCACTCCGGCTCAACGGAGTGCCATCCTGCGGGCAGAACGGGGACGGAGCTGGCCTTCGATATTTTACCCAGGATCCCACTGCCGTGTTCAGGGGGGAGGTTTGTCCCTATTATCAGGGGCTCCATCAAAGCCCCCTACAATTTCCGATGTCCGTCTCTGGCCAGCACACCATCCACCCATTTTCTAACCACGGTATCCAATTCAGGGTCACGGATGGAGCTGGAGCCTACCTCAGCAAGCAACAGGCACACGGCCGGGTTCAGACACGCACACGCACACACCAGGGCCAGTTTTCCTAGAAGCCAACGAACCCACCAGCATGTCTGTGGACTGTGGGAGGAAACCGGAACACAAGCACACCAGGAGCTGGTAAACCCTGGAGTGGATCAGACTGCCGGGACCCAGAGAGCAAGAAGCCCAAGAAGCCAGGATCCCTCTAAAGCTAGCTAAGCCCAGTGACTGGATATGGCTGACCCGTGACTGGTGAGCAGCAACCCCCCAAGTTGGAAATGGAGAGCTCAGTGAAAGCCCCCCAACTCCCCCTAATCTTTCAGACCAGAGTCTCTCTGACTGTGCAGAATTACATTCCCAGGAGGCACACCAATGAGACACACATCCAGGGGGCCACTCAGACAGGCTGATGAGCCTCACTGCATCCCAGCCCCCCCCCAGGGGCCCCAGAAGCTCACACTCATTTCTGCCCTGCCTCTGCCAGCTGCCAAGTCACTCTGTCATTCTCCAAAGCCTCATTTCCTAAAATAACTCCTAAGAAAACCACAAAGGTGCAATACTGGAGGGAAGAGAGCATGGCACTAGGAAAGAAAACACCTGCAAATTGACCGGAGGCACAATTTATCAATCATCTGGCCGAGACCCACACAAGACTCTTGTAGCTGATAAAACCTGGAGCTGATGACACTGCTGTGCAACGGGAGCCTGGCTGACAGCAGTGTTAAACATGGAGACGAACAAACAGGCTGCTGTGCACTGGGAGCCTGATCGACGTCAGTGTAAGAGCTGGCATGAAAGAGACTGCAAGGGGCCAGAAGAGTAACAGTGTAAACATGGAGCAGAACAGGCTGTCAGTCTTGGGGACTGAAACGAGGAGGACGGAGTTGAAGAAGGAGAGTCGGCCTCGGCCTGTCCTACTTGCGGTAGCGCACGGCGGGGTACTCCTTCAGCGTGGCGCAGAGTGTGGCGATCTGCTCGGCCAGGGTCTCCATCAGCTTGGTCTTGTTGGCTGAGGAATGGGGGCTGAAGAAGGTGTGGAAGGAGCCCGGGCTGTCCAGGGAGAAGACCTGGGAGGACAGAGGGACAGGTCAGAG